TGAGCCGAAGGTAGACACTTAATCAACTGGGCCTCCCAGGCACCCCGGATACATAATCTTTAGAAAGATAACTAACAAATACGAACTTCAGATATGCAGTTTTTATTTGGTCATACTCAAAGCTCTTCTCAGGGGGCAAAGGCACTTGTACTCTGATGTTACAAAGTTATTTTTAAACAGTGTGACTGACAATGTAAAGTCAATGATATGTATCTTTTGACTAAGGAATGTAATAAAACATCAAGGAGAACTGCTGTCCCTGTACAATAAAGAAAATTTGCAAATCATGCTCTTCATTGTTGGCTTTTACAGCAAAATGTGAAGTTCTGTGAGGAAGAAGCCTTGATTTGAATCCACAGTTGGTCAGTTCTGATGCTGAGGATTCTGATGGCAGAACATCTCAGTGAAATGGGCTGGCATTGTGGAAGAGTTCCTGGCTGGGTGGAGAACAGCTCCTTTAGTTTAAATTTTGCTTTACATTTGCATGTTAATAAAATAATTTTAGAATCTTAGTCATTTGTTGGATATTTTCCTTCAAATAATCTTGTGTCTGGAAGGACTTCATAAAAGGATGCAAACTCTCTCGCTTTCTGTCTTCTTTTGTCAACTAAGGTAGGACCATACTACCTTGGACTGGACCACTCCAGGTAGTACTGGGCATTTATTCGGTTGATTTATTAAAATATGAAAGTTCTTATTAGGGCAAAGCAATACAAGCTTATTATTGGAAAAATGAAAAAAAATACAGACAAGCAAAAAGAAGAATATAAACAAAAATTCCCTTCTCTCCATCCCATCTATCCACTCTTGAACATTCCATTGTATAATTTTCAAAATCTCTTTGAGTCTGCTTTCATACACACAAGTGCATGTGCACATGTAGGCATACGTTCATATGTACTTTTTATATTTAAGATATATTTCAGTTCTGCAAAATTCTTTTTAAATAACAGCTGCATTAAGATATAATTCACATACCATAAATTCACTTTTAAAGTGCACAATTCAGTGGTTTTTAGCATATTCACAGGGTTGTACATCCATCAGCATTATCAAATTCCAGAACTTTTTTTTAAATGTTGTTGTTGCTGTTTTTAAG